AGGAGTGGGATTGCTGGGTAGTAGGCATGCTGAAGTGGTTTTAACTTCTTAGTGATGTGCTTTAACCCACTGCACTACCAGGGAGGACCCAAATTTCCTTTTTAAAGAGATTCTGTGTTGCGGAAAAATAAGTTTTGGAGACAACTGCTGTATTATGGGCCAAAGTGACACTCTTCAATAGATCCCTGATTGTCAGATGGAGAGGAAGGAAAGACAAAACTTTTGAAATCAAAATGAGTTTGAGGATATCTTCCTTTATAGTAATTATTGGTTTTATCAGATATAATAATAAGACTTTGCTTAGTCCAAAGACCTAGAGATAGTTTCCTTTTATTTTTATGTCTTAGTACTTTACCTTCTCACTTTTAAGTCTGTGATCTGTAAAAAAATCATATCTTGTTACAACTGTTGTAACTGGAAGTTCGGTGTTCAAGCCATCTGTCACCACTATATAAATAAAGTAGAAACAATGAATTCAATCTTTAAGGTTCATTTTAAGCAGTTAGCCAGCAATTTAGAAGAAGGGTTTTATCACCCTAAAGAAACTGCCTAAACATTTTAATTTTAAGCTGGTTCTTTATGTGAGTTGAACAATAACAGTTCAGTAATAAGCAGGTCTTCACCAGTGCCAGGAGCTTGTGATGTCCAGCCCCCAAAGCTCCTTATCATTCTCCTTGACACCTGACCTCAAGCATGCTCCACTGTGCTGAGTCTGGTCATCTGATAGCACTGGTTCCCTGCACTCTCCAGATGTGTCCTTGGGCTGAAAAATTAAGTGAAAGTAGACAGGCCATAAACAATGCTTGTGTGCGAATTTCTTGATGTCCAATTCCCCCTTTCTTATCTCCTACCACTACAAGGTTGGGATCATTGCCCACCCTAATATGTATATTAGGTGTATATAACTGGCCCGGCCCTGTTTCTTGAAAAGATTCATTAGTCATTTCCCCCACTAAATTCTAATGGCTCTATTGTAAAGTGTAATAGGTGACTATTTTATCCATGGATATGCTTCCAGTTTTTCATTTCACGGGTCTGTTTGTCCATCTTGTACCAGCAACACATTGTCTTAATAATGTAGCTGTGTAGTATTTCTCAAAGTCCTATACCCGATCTTCCAGACTGCCTTGATTTTCTAAACCCTTTATATTGTGATTATTTTATAAAACCTGTTTTTCCATTTAAAACTTTTAAAGATGAACTTGTCAATTTCAAAAAAATGTTCTGAAATACTAATTGTACTTAGAGAGCTTAGTACTTAGAGTAGCTCTATTTGGAAAAAACTGTTACCTTAATATTGAATCATGCAGTCCACTAATATTATACATCTCTCCTTTTTAAGTGCCCCTTAATTTCTTATAGCACTGTTTTGTAATTGCACTGTAGAGGTTATATACCAAGAAATATCCAAGCAATAACATAATCAAGAAAGTGATTGCTTGAGAGAAGATATCATGATCATGATCAGCCAAAGGGCTGCTACCTACAAGGGCAGGATATAAGAAAGTTTTAAATAGTCAAAGCAGGGAAGTGGTTTGCACTTGAGTAACTTGTTTTGAAATTAAGTTCCTTTCTGTTTATGATTGGTTGACAATGGTCTTCAGGCAGAAGACTGCAATGTGGGGTCTTTGGTGACAGTCAGCCCATGGCTGCCTGTTTCATGGTCACAGATAAAGAGGAAAAAGGGAATTGCTGCACCCAGGAATTCACCCATAATTTTCAGCATGGCAGTTAGAGATGCAATGTTGTTAAAAGTAGTGTCTTTTGATTTACAGTAGTTTCTAACAGGTTCTACATATCTTTCATTAGACTTATCTTAAGGTATTTAGTATGTTTATGCTATTTTATATGGCACTAAATTTTCATTTATATATTCCATTTGTTGCCTGTGTGTGTTTATCCCAGAAAATACTATATAATCTAGAGTGACAAAAAAATGATCAGTAGTTGACTGGTGAGAAAGCCATGCATGAACAAGCACAGCAAGAAGGCAATGGTTATGAAAAGATAAAAGGAAACTTTTGGGGTGATAGTCACTAAACATGGGAGTAGGTTAAATACTTGATTATGATGACGAGTTCATGAGTTTACATATATGTAAAATATCAAGCCATTAGCTTTGAAGATGGGTGGTATGTTGTCAGTAATATTGCTCTATAATGCTAAAACAAGTTCAGAGCCATAACGTGGACTAGGTAGTTATGCACATACAAGTGGGAGTTAACAACATGAGAACCTAAGTGTGAGAACAGGCAAACACAAGTAGTTTAGTTTGACATTTAATACATACTGAGCACCTACTAAGTATGTATGCTATGCTAAGGGACTAAGGGTAAAAAATAACTGCATTTTAATCTAGTGTTGGAATCACGTATTGACAGGTAATTATAGTATATGTGCTCAAAAGGAGGAAATTAAAGGCTTCTTTCTATGCAGCAGTAGGAAGATTTTTTTTTATTACAAGTTTATTTTTACATCATTTTTCACATTTTTTTTTTCCATCTCGATTGTAATCCCCACGGGTTTCCCATCACCAAATCACCCGTGTGCCACCACCATAGTCTCATGCATTTCCCTCCCTTCCCCCCCCCATTTTTGATCCCATTCCCCACTCCACCCCCACAAAATGTCTCTGGTATATGATTGTTCATTATTTTTGTTATTTTCTCGCCTGGTCCATTATACTCCTGCTATGAGTGAAACCATCCGGTATTTTTCTTTCTCTTTCTGGCTTATCTCACTAAGCATGGTCTTTTCCAGCTCCATCCAAGTTGCTGCAAAAGACATGTGTTTCTCTTTTTTGGTTGCTGAGTAATATTCCATTGTGTATATGTAGCACATCTTTTTTATCCAGTCATCTACTTTTGGGCATTTGGGCTGCTTCCATCTACCCAAAAGACACAAAAACACTGATTGAAAAAGATATTTGTACCCCCATGTTTATTGCTGCTTTATTTACAAGTAGAAAGATTTTTAAGAGCTCAAAGAAAGCTCACAGGAAGTAATGGCTAGGCAAAGCCTAAAGAACAGGTAAGAGTTAGCCAAATATGATGAGATAAATT